TGGACTATCACATATGAATCATACAGTCTGATAGCCTCTGGCAGAAAGGACTTGCTGTAGCGTTTATCTTGGCTGCAATAATCTTTGGCTATGTCTGCTCCTCAGGCTTTCCACCATGCAGAGGATGGAAGGGGTTATCCTTGACACCTCTGATCATCTTCAGCATTCTGTCTCTCATCACCTCTTCCAATGGAGCCAGCTTGATCCCTACAACTGACTCAGCCTTTCTTATCAGTTTGTTAAGTCTGTTTGAGTCTTACCAATAATTAATTAATTAATCTAATTAACAAGGATATTTTTGTTTCCTAAATGCTAAAAAACTTGGAGAGAACATTTTTTTAGAGATTTTTTGTAACTTTCTCCATTGTGTATTTCAGTAACAGTTCACTTAATGATATTATATAGATTTATTGCACATAGACTGAGGTGCTTCCACCTTTTCCTCTTTGTTATGTATTCATTCGCTGTAAACGACATTGCTGTTAAAACATTACATCAGATCAATTAAAAAAAAACAGGCATCAATCGGCTTCTATTCTTTGCTATTTATTCACTTGAGTTAGAGTGTACTGGATAAAGTTATAAAGTTCTTCAAAAGGACTATCAATGGTAATTTAATGACATAAAGTGTTTTAATCTGCGAATAACTTACTGTGCAAAGAATTAAAATAAAATTAAATGAATTTTTTAAAAAAAGTTCCCGCTGGAGATGCCGGGGATTGAACCCGGGGCCTCATACATGCAAAGCATGCGCTCTACCACTGAGCTACATCCCCTTACGGAAACATCATGCGGAATCATCTAATATAAAATCACATAGCATCTATGTGCTACTGAAAATTTATATGATTGTGTTAGTTCCATGCAATGTAATTCCTGATGCGATTCCTGATTTTGTCTTCTCCTCCTTCGTTCCTTTTTTTTCTTTCTTTCTTTCTTTAAAAAATAAGTCACGTGACGTCTTCCCAAGGCACTATCAAGACTGCCAACACTCACGGAACAAATTCCCTTTGTCCCCTAAACATCGCCTGAACAATAAAGAAACTTAATCAAACTCCTGCTGTTTTAGCATAAACGACATTCTCTTCTGTGCCATACCTGTGCTTACATTAAAATGTTTGAGAACGTTATTGCATAATCAACCACAAGATGTCGCTCTGGTCCACAGCTGACACCTCCCTATCCAGAAGATAATGACAGCTCTGCCAAAGCTTTACATTTTACACGAAAGTCTAGTGTACACCTGACCTGCATGAAGTAGGTGTGTTTGGTACTTTTTGACGTAGTCAGCTGCGAGCCGTGAACAGCCAATAACGAGCCTCTAACACTAACCTTTGGCATTCACCTGTAGCTGCCTGTCCACCTGTTATCCATGGGAAGTTACGGGGGTCAGAGGTACAGTGACTGAGAGGAACGACTCCTAGTGAGAAATGAAATGAGGCTTTACCCCCTACGAGTTGGATGTTTGTTGGTGGTCGCGTGTTTTCTGTCACTTTCTTGGATAAAATCATTTCCGGATGATGGAGGTAGGTCCAATTATCTTCCAAAACAAAGATAAAGGTCTTTTTATTTTTTCTAAAGATAAAAACGTAATTTTTTAGTGCGGGTTTGTATGAGGACAAATTACATCAAATGAAACTGATTACTGGAATCTTCATGCTAAAATAGTTCGATTTTGTTAAATTGTGTCGGACTTTGTATTTTCTCTGCACGCGGCAGTGGGTTGTAATGAGTAATACATAACTGTTTTCTCTTACAGTCACGAGAGCTATTACCCCTAATTATTAGGCATAATTATAGTTTTAATGTATGTCGTAAAACTCTCCAATCCTTCATAACTATCGTATGTTGTACGTATGCCCAGTTATGGAAGTCTACTGTTTCTCCACTCTACTTGATCAGTTTCTGTCTCAGCTTCCCAATTTCAGCCAATGAACAGCTGCAGCAAGGAAGACCCCACGAGACATCATTCTCCCAAGGGCGAAAATCCATCTAATTATTGGGGGGAGGGGGGGGCGAGGGGAACCATAAACAGGGACATTTTTTAAGAGCAATTTTGGGGGGGTCGGCAAAGTTACAGTCAAAGGTAATGTAAAATGTGGTTTAAAAAGTTTTTTATTGTTTTCAAGCTGCACCACCAAAAATGACTAGTAAGTAGCAATGAATAACAAAAGTGTTTTTCTCACTAAACAATCTGTTGAAACCCATAGAAGTCAAATTAAGATTCAAATGTTTAGATATGAGTTTGGTTAAGAGTCATAAATGTAATCTCTGCTATACCTTTACAAAAACTTAAGACTCTGACTAAAATCAAGTTGCAATAAGTAACTCCACTTAAAATTCTTCATAAATATTGATTTATTGCAGAGGTTCTCAATATAAGTCATGTGTTATTTAAATTATAATTTAAGTTGCTTTAAACTTTTACTTTTTTTCATGTCATGGATGGCTGAGAACCTTTAAATATGTGGAAATTGAATATCTGGGAAGTATCAGAACTTAAACTTAAGGGCCAGCACCGGAGTTTTCTAGAAAAAATATTCCGATTTTATTTTGTGGCTCTACAATGAAGATGGTAAGAAATAAAGGCATATTTTTTTTTTTTTTTTTACTGTCAGCTACAATAGTTCCTCTGCTCTCTGCTCCTATACAGAGCTGTCAGTTAAGTGGACATGCTCAGCCGCTCCCGTTTCAAACTCTTCTTATTAAAGTAAGAGTTAGAGAGCTAAATATAATTGAAATACTGGCTACCTTCGACAGAAAACAGAGCCAAGTCTATGAAAGCGATGTAGCAGTTTTGCTAGTTTTGATTTCCAAGACATAAGGTGGCAGTTTATCATGATTCAGTCAAAGTAATGAAATGAATAAACTGCGGTCTGATTTTTGTTCATGTGTTTCTTCCTATTGAGCAGTGAAAGTAAATAAAATGTGTAACATGTCTTTTGCTTTAAGTATTTACTTACTGGAGAGTTTGTTATTTGTGCTGCAGAGCCACAGCTAACAGCTAGCTCCTCACTTCAGCGGCTGATGGAACCTGCGCTGCTGTTGCTCGCATGCACTTTGGACTGAACCATTGTTCTAACAATGGTTGGTGGGGGACCTAAAAATTATTATAATTTTTTTTTTCTTAGAGGAATGGCAGATTTACTTCGTTATTTGTTTCTATTGCCTTTTTTATATTGACATTGTTTAAATACAAAGGTTTCTTTCATGATTTCTTTGCGTGGGGGACTTCTCCAGGATTGAGGGGGTCCGGACAAAACAACCAATCAGAAGTAGTAGGACGCTCTTAGCAATGTGAATTAGCCTCATTCACTCACTGCTAAATGTGCTAATGGGGGAAAAACAACTTATCATTTACAAGAAACCGTTTATCTGTCATCATTGGTAGCTATGCTAACTAAACTGAGCATTCAGTTTGAATCTGCACAGCTCTGTGCTATGCTAGCTGCAGCACGGCACAAATCGAGGGGGAGGAAGGATGATCAGCACCACATGAGATTGTGATTGACAGCACTAAAACTCTCCTGCCACTGACTGGTTGTTTCTAGCACTGGGAGAAGGCGGAGGAAATAGATTTTTCACAGATTACCTCTCATACTATACTGTCACAACATAATGACAGTTTTAAAAAATATGTGAAATAAAATATTGATAAAAAAGTGACATACTGTAGCTTTCTCAGAAGAGAACGGTCAAGAGGGACGTGGGTTAGAGCTGCTGCTGACTGACTCATCTGTCGTTAAGTAGTAAAAGGTACAAGGGACAAGTTAAATATATGAATATGTTGATAACTTTTTTCCTTAATTCATTAAATGCTAGTCAAATGGAGGCAAACAGTAGTCTGTAGCTAAGCTAACTATGCTAAATGGTTGATAATGTCACACAGTCTACCCACCTCTCTTGGAGAAAAACTAGGTTATAAATTAACACTCTTGCCTTTCTCTCTCTCCCTCTCTCTCTCTCTCTCTCTCTCTCTATTTTTTCTGAAAACCTGATTTTCTAACTTTTCTTAGCAGCATAGTAACTGCCACAGTCGTGCTTGTTTCCTACCGTCTGCTGCTACCAGCATCACGCTCTCTCAAACGCTCCAAGCAGGAACAAACCATTCCATACACATCCAGGGGGGTTCAGGGTAATATGGTAGCTTTTTGATCTGGGAGTGGGAACATAAAATTTTTACTGCTAAAAACAATCTTTGAAAATACAATATTTTCAAAGATAATTTGTCAATTACAAAATTGACAGGACCCCGTTTTTTTATTTTATTTCTATGAATAAAAAATAAATAATTAAATTGTGGAGGGCCCCCTGTTGGTTAGGGCCCCTAGAATTGTTATCACTTTCCCCCCCCTACACCGCGCCCTGTTTACACCTATGCATTCTCCTGTCAGAACTGATCAAATGTCAGGAAAGATGTCACTCCAAAAACATGTCTAACTCAGCTAAATAATGCAGTGAATGATACACTGAGGTTTAAAAGATTCACAGATCATGAAACGGCCAATAGCAGCTACTGAAACTCTCCAGTTTTCTCTATTTTCTGTCAGTGTACTGATGAACACTGACAGAAAATAGAGAAAACTGGATATTTAGGAAATGTTTAACCTGTCATTCACGAGAGGACCCAGACTTGGGTCCTCTCGTGACAGGGGTGTCAAACTCCAGTCCTCAAGGGCCGCTGTCCTGCAACTTTTAGATGTGCCTCTGCTGCACCACACCTGAAAAGAATAATTAGGTCATTAGCAAGGCTAAGGAGAACCGATCTACACAGGGAGGAGGTAATTAAGCCATTTCATTCCACTGTTTTTTTTTACCTGTGGCACATCTAAACACTGCAGGACAGCAGAGGACTGGAGTTTGACACCCCTGTCATTGTGAATGACAACCTGTGAATGACAGGTTAAGTGGCATTTAGAGGGCTGATGTCTTGATTGGTCAAACTGGTAACAGGAAGCTTTTAAGTCAGTCACTACTGTAAATCTTCTCTGTGTGAACTCTTTGTCTCTTGTGAATGCATTTCCTGGCTTAGGTGTTCTGACTACCATGCCACGATTTTCCTTGTTCCCATCACAAGATACTTTCACAGATGTATGTAGTTTTTCAATGTGTTTGGTCTGTTTATAATTAAAATGGGTAGTTTACCTAATCTAACCTTTGCCTGATAATCCCACATACTTCCATACTTTGGGCCACACTCTGTAGTTTTTGATTGTTTTCCTTATATAATAAGTCAGTCACTACTGTAAATCTTTTCTGTCTGTGGCTGTGCCATCTGAACAATATCAATACAGATGGAATAATCCATCTGTATTGTGTCTTTAGATAACACATTTTGAAGACTGATATAAAAAAGTAGAAATTAAGAAATCACTCAGTTAAAATGTAAATGAAGACACTTGCTAACTGAGATTGTCACTAACCCTGGGCTTATTTTATCCTGTATTTATCTCTAAAAATATTAAGGAATGTTGAGAATGTTGACAGTGCTGTGAAAATGTAGGAGCTCCTGCTAGATTACGTTCTGTTTTTGTGCAAATGTTTTGAGATCATTTTGCAATTTTGAAGATCAGACAAAGTTCTGTTCTGATCTAATACTAAATGAGGAAAATGGTTTATTGTGAAAAACAACTGATCAGCGCAAGAGCCACTTCAAACTACAATATCCATATTTTCTAAATAATTCACTAAAGACAGAAAATACTTTCTGGAAACAAATGAATATATTCCTGTATTTGTAAATATGCTGCCTAAGGATACATCTCTGCTCCCACCGACTGTTTTGGAGGGGAAATGCTTGTTCCAGAGTTGAGCTTTGCTGCTGAGTTCCTTCCAGATGGGAACAATCAATCACAAAACATGGGTTTAATGATTGGCCAGCAGTGACCCAAAAGAACACATAGGTTTGAACAACAGAACTGAGACAAAAGTAGAACTTATGGAAATTGTAAAACTAACTTTTTGGAACAAAACAAAACAAAAAATATACACTTACAGTCAAGCATGGTGGTGGTCACGTGGTGGTCTGGGCTTGTGAGTAGGCCACAATTCCTCCACAGCAATAAAATGTCAGTTTTTGCAAATGTTTGGGAGTTTTTGCTGCCAAGAGTGAATCCAACAGGGGACAATTAGTTTTCCACTTAGGGCACTGTTACTTTGGGTTATTTAACTGAGATAATCCTTTACATTTTGCATTTTTCAAATTCACATTGGTTATCTCCGTCTAATAATAAAATGAGTTTGAGGACCTTATCATTGTAGCTTCACTTGGACTCAAAGGCAAAAACAGGAAAAGAGAATACAACTGGCTCAAAACACAAGTATATTATTCTTAGTGAATGTCTGAGTTAAGATGAGAACTTCTACCTCATAGTAAACAGAATCACTAGAGCAGTGTTTCCCAACCCTGCTCCTCAAGGCAAACTGTCCTACATATTTCAGAGGTTTCCTTGCTTTAATGTGCCTGATTCAGCTGATTGGAGTTCAACAAACGCCTATTAATCAGTCATTGATTGAAATCATCTGGGCTGAAGGAAGGAAATACCTAAAACATGCAGGGCAGTGTGCCTTGAGAACCAGGGTTGGGAAACACTGCACTAGAGTACACACCTATCTCCACAACTACAGATCTGCAGATACTGTACAAGAGACTGTCGGTGGCAGAAGAGCTGGGAGGAAAGGTCAGCAAGGATCTCAGCATCATCCTTGAGCAGCTGGGGAACATGACGCGCGCTGCCAACGTCAGCCACCTCTGGAGCAACACGTCCAGCAGCAGCAGCAGGACTATGGGTGAGTAGCAGAGCACTCAACCGGACCAGCCCAACACATTCTGCCACTAGTAGACACATGGAGTGCTGTAGAAGAGCAAATACACCCAACAGGTTCTGCTGCAGCGCAGCCAAGATTTCTATAAACTTTCAAGATTTCTTGGTCAGTGTGAACACGCACAACGCAAAGCATGTAGCAGAACGGGTTAGCTCAGTTTTGCAGAAGCTGGTGATGAAGGATGACATGAAAGATTTAACCCAAGTGGCTCTTTGTATCAAGTCACAGGCTATTTCCTGGTATGTGCTGGGTTTGCTTGCAATTACCTCCCTGCAGTGAACTGGTGTGTATTGTCTGTGTGAAATACACTCAGTTTCTCCTTTGCTAACAGCACAAAGTCAAACTGCAGTGCCTGTATTAACTGATTAGAGATTGCTAGGATGCAGGTTGGGCTGCACAATATTAGAAAACCTTGCAATAACAACAGTTGCCTGTTTTCTTCTGTCTCTCTCATTTGTGCTTCCATCACTCTAGCCATGCAACATTTTTTTAACCTGCATTTTAAAGTATCGCTTCAGAAACGTTGATGGAAATGGAAATATTTGAATTATCTTCTACAGTTTGGCAAAAAACCTTTGGAGGATTTTAGACTTGATTGAAAAAGAGTTCATACACTAATGGAGAGATGGAAACGGGTTTACTGGATAAACTCTGACGTAGAAAACTCTCCCATCCACTAGCCGGTTGGTGCCTTACCTGAGGCACAAAACTCTGAGAAATATCTAGGTCAAAGCCTCAAATTTGGAAGGGACAAATGTCTTCATTTGCCTCCAGTTTGCAACCTCTACTTCATGTTTATTACAGCGTCAACAGCATTGCCTAGTTGATTGGCTCCGAACAAATAGATGGAACACGCCTCCTTTCTCTATTTTTGCAACACTTTAAAACTTCACTTAAACTTTGCATGACAATTAGATGGAAACGTAGCGAGTGACTTTTAGCAATTTGGGCAACATCCTTTGTGTTTGGTGTGAGACTTTCTAAACACTGCATGGACATGCACTAACAAATGACTGTCTGCACACCAGTCATTTGTGATATGAATATTGCACACACTGATATTGTGATAATCGCATATTGCCGATATATTGTGTTGTAGGTCTGCATGATGGTTTCTTCCAAAACAGAAAGTTGCAAATGATATGAGTGCAGGCCTAAAGGAGCCTGAGCAAGACGGAGTCTAACAGTGAGACAAGTTAGGAAACGATTAGATTCCCAGTTCTCTGAGAGCAGAGAAGCGTTACATAGCTTTAATAAAGGCTGTATGCAGAAGGAGATAAGATCGGTGGACAAGATTGTTTTCACATGTAAGCATCATTTCATTGCTGATCTCCCAAATTGAAACAAATCAGGGCTGATTTATTGGTGCACGCCTGGAGATAAGCAAGTATAGATAATGGATGGATAGTTTCAGTGAGTGGTCACAGTATAAGAACTCTACTTTCACGCTCAAATATTCGGAGCCGTTCTAGCCCCGTTCTTTGTTCCCTTACTATGTTAGCTTGGGCATCTGTCTTCTTGGAATTTTAAAATGTTTTCTCTAAGATTTGTGTTAAAAGTTACCATAACTAACTCAGTTACACTTTACAGGGAAACTACAATAAGTCCTTAGACTATTTTTGGACCAGAATAAATTTTTACCCCTTTTTTCTGTATAGTCAAAGGAAGACCCTGGTCCGTTTCACAGTAATCATGACACGTTAATCTAGATCAAAGCAAAAGTCAGGTGTGACTCACTTCCTGATGCTTTGCATTATTTCCTCAGAACTGCTATTTTAATGTTTCCTTACAGCAGTGGCGTGCGGTGAGGTTCATAGCTGGTGAGGCACTGACTTAATCATAATCAGATTTACAAATCTAGACCCCCTGCAAGTTATTGTCTTGCGCATGCGGACAACGCTGGAGGGTAAAAAGGCTATTTCTTTACATGCCATCCATAGTCGCTCTGCCGCCGTAGAATAACTCCGTTAACTCAATCAAACCTGGACATGTAGATATTAATTTCGTGCTGCTCCACAACAAAGGGAAAAATCGTTGAAGAACAATTCAAAACCACGTCTTTCTCGCTCTCTGTATCAGCACAGCTACAAACAGACTCGTTGCCATAGCAACTGACAACAAAGCCACAAAAAATTAACACTCAGATATTTCCCACACAAAGAGCAGAACATTCAGTCTGTTGCAGTAGTATGGATTTAGGCTTAATGTTTATTTTGGGATTATTAATAAGTGACTGCTGTGGTAAGAATAAGAGAAGAAAATTATAAATATATCGCTGCACTTGACGGCTAGCTGCTAGCTCTCTGTTACTGTCTTAATCTGCAGTTGTGGAGTCACAATGTCTGGGATAATGAGCGCCCCTAGCGATGAGGCAAAAGAACTGCCTGCTTCACCTCGAATCTGTTCTCTGCCGTTTCTGATCGCTCCTCGGCACACGAAACATGTTACACACACACAGTTGGTGACAAAAAAACACTGTACATTATATAGATAAGCTAAATTATGGAAAA